ATACTTCTCTTTTTGGAGAAGGAATAGAGCTGCATAAAGGAAGAGACTTGCTCAGGGTCAAAGAGTAAGACAGTGGGAGACCTGAGATGAGATTTGTGTTCCTTGGGTTTCCATCCATTGTTCACCACAAAGCTGCCAGCCTCCCCTTTGGCTGGGGACAGTGCAGCGTAAGGGAATGTGCTCTGCCACACGTCCAGTGTGTTAGGTGATATCCGCCCCTACTCATTCTCCTCTGAAGTGCCTTTATCACCTTGAGAATAGAGCCACCTTTTCCTGCCTATGGTTTGGCAGATCTCCACCTGGAGAGGGTGGTGGTGACCGCAGTGTGCAGAGATGAGAGTTGGGGAAAGCTGCTCAACTGGAGCCTCTGCAGCAGCTCAGAGGACAGACTTTTCTTGACGGAAAGAATCCACAAACAGCAAATCCCTGACTGAATGAGCAAGGTCAGTGGTACTGATTTTTGTTCTTTGCAGTACTGGAGATTGAATTGAGGGCCTTGTACATACTAAGCACTTATGGGCCGGAGATTTAGCTCAGTGGTTCCGGTGCCTGCCTCACAAGCACAAGGGCCTGAGTTCAATCCCCATTACCCCCCCAAAAAAAAACCATACTAGGCACTTATGACCCAGCCCATTATTGATTGATTGATTGGAGACAGGGTCTAACTGTAGTTCAGGCTGACTTCAAATTTGTAGTGATCCTCGTGCCTTAGCCTCCCAAGTGCTGTGATTACAGGTGTGCACTACCACATCTGGCTAATTTTATTATATTTTACATATGTTTTTTCTTTTCTTTTTTTTTGAGAAAGGCTTGCCAAATTCTGCAAACTGGCATTGAATTTAGATCCTCCTGTCTTCACCTCTCACATAGCTGGGATTACAGGTATAGCCCATCACACCTGTCTTGGTGCTCCTTTTTTGATGAGAAATCCATATTACTTGGGCATTTTAAAATTTAATATGTATTTAAGCCATTAGTTTCTATATATTGACTGAGACATATATGTTGTAAAATTCACATTAATACTGTAGGATCAGACTGAAGAGTCGGTCCTGATGGACTGCACTTTGGTACCTGCTGATTAAACTAAGAGCCATTTGTTTATCATGAACCATACTTCTCAGGGGTCTTGGAACTGTCTGTCAACCAGAAATGGAGTCTGCTGATTGCAATCTCTAGATTGGTGATGTGTTTCGCACCCTTTCCCTTGCAAAAGTTAAAGGTTAATGTTTTTAGAATATAAAGTTCTTTGACTTAATACATTTAAACAAAAGTAAATCATTCTGATATATGTTTCCAAAGATGAGTGTCTTAGTTGAGTGTGGTGGCTCACGCCTATACTCAGCACTTGGAAGGCAGGCGGAAGGACAGCTATGAGTTTGAGGCCAGCCTGGGCTACATAGTGAGTTCAAGGCTAGCCTGAACTACGTAACAAAACTCTGTCTCCAAGGAAAAAATAAAAAGATGAGTTTCTTTATTTCATTCTTGGTCTACAGTGTGGGGCGGGGGTGCTGAATGCTGATTACATGGCCTCACAAGTGCTAGATGAACGCTCTCCTCCCAACCCTGCACAGGTGAACTCACTGGTCACCCCTCTGCCGGCCACCTTAATGGATGATTCACTGCTTTAGAATGGCCAGGACCAGAACCTTCTGACCTTTCCTGTCTTCAGTCTAAACCAAGCTGTGGGCTTTTCCTTTTCTGCTCACCTGTTTTACAGATATGACTCGGTACATCTGTAAAAATGGATCAACAGTGTGTTAACACAGGAAGACAGACACAGGAAGAACGAACCAGTAATTAAGGGTTCTTTTATTTGGAATAAACACAGGCCTCAGCCACTTATTTGGTAGCTTGAGAAAACTTAGAAATGGTAGGGAAGGGTATAAAATCTCTCCTGGGGACTCAGGAAACTCTAGTTATGTAATATGTTGTCTGTAGTATTTTGCTAGCCTGAAGCACAGAGAATATTACTGAAAGAGAATAAAATCTATACTTTGCTTTTTAAAGGTTTTTGTTGATGATTGGTAGGCACATTCAGCATCTAATCTTTGGTGCACCACCTATAACAATAATGTGTCAAGAGAAGCCCCCAGCTCACTGTGCACACATCCATGAACAGCATGGGTCACTTCCTGTGTTGAGCCATTTGAAAACAAGAACACTTCCTCTGTGAAGTAGTCAGAGAAATACCTGAATGGCCTGGCATAATGGCTCCCCTGCCCATGATTGGTTAGACTTTGCTGGAGAGACGTGGACAGCTTGCACCATCATGGAAGTTGAGGTGGTTGTTTCTGCTAACAAAGGCAACCTGGAGGCTAAGCCCAAATTTGAAATCCAGCTTCTTGGGCAAGTCACTTCACCTGTGTGCCTCAGTTTCTTTGTGTGTGAAACAGAGGCAGTGATGGTACTCACTCTCATTGGCTGAACATTTACACCAAAAGCTGAAGAGTGCTTGCCTTGTAGTGAGTGCTCCAAGGACTAGCCTGCTGCCACTGCTATTACTACTACTACTGTTAATGTCATTCTTGTTTGTGTTTTTTTTCATTTTTTGTTTTCTGGTACCAGGGATCAAACTCAGGATCTTGATTTGCTTACTTTTTGGCATTGTCTATGATTGAAATGTTCTCTTTAAAGAGAAAAGTAGTATCACTTGATGTATGAAAAGTAGAAATTGTATAAGCCCATTGCCTTGACATAACTTTAAAAAAATTCTTATGTATGCAGTCTACATACTGTTTTATGGTCTTTTTCCATCCAGCATTCAAGCATAAGCAATTTACAATTAGTTTTCCATTTCTTTGTGCAACGAATAATTATTGACTTGTTGACTGTTGCTTCCTCTGTGTGTGTGGTACTGGAGATTGAAATCTTGCACTTTCGAGGCAGGCACAGTGCCACTGAGCTGAATCCCCAACCATTGCTTCCTTCAAACAAACTATAAGAAAAACTAGTGAAATCAGATAATTTGGGGTTATCTTGGAAGGTCATTTTGTTTGTTTTTTTATTGGGAACTTCAGCTTCTGTTTCTTCATGCATGAGAATCTTACTGTACTATCATTCTTTGAGATTGTTCTAAAGTTGGCCTTATAAAGGTGAAACTGCAGTGCATGAGATCAGAGTTGTTGGTGTTCACCACTGAGGGATTGTGGCACATCGTGCTCTAGACTTGCACTGCCCAGTACACACACATATGGTTGTTTAAATTTAATTAACTTAGGGCTGAGGATTTAGCTCAGTGTTCCCCCACCTGCCTCACAAGCACAAGGTCCCAAGTTCGAGCTCAGGTACCCCCCCAAATAAATAAATTTAATTAACTTGGTTGGACTTCGGTATAAGGAAAATGTTGCTTCCTTATCCACACACGTCATATTTTAGGTGCTCGTTGGCAGCATATGAGGAGTGGCTACTGTTTTGTTTTTGACTTTTATTATTATATGTTTGTAGTACATAAGATTATGGAGGTAACTGTACATAACACATTTCAATTCTTTTTTCCCCTTCCCGCCACCCCCTTTTATTTTGTGAGCATCAGATTTAGTGCCTCTATTTTGGACAGTGCAGGTGCAGAACATTTCCATCACTGCGGGAAGTTCTGTTGAGTAGCGATGCTGCTGACCTTTTTTCACCCTACCACAAGGAAATACCACCTCTGATGTTTTAGAGCAGTTTGCAGACTTTGGCTACCAGTTTTTGTATATAAAGTTTTATTGGAACACAGCCACATGTTCACTATTTGTTTCCGTAGTATCTTTGTCTGCTTTTGTGCTACAGTAGCAGAACTGGGTCTTGAGCAGAAACTATTTGTAGTTCACAAATATTTGTGCCCACTATTTATGGCCCTGGAGTTTTTACTCGGTCCTCTTAGGAAAAGCATTGCCAACATCTTTTATCCAGAGCACAACTTTCCAGCCTCAGCACACATGATGTTTTGGTCCAGATGGTTCTCTGTTTGGGGGCTGTCCTGTGCACTATAGGATCATTCAACATTGTCCCCATTCTCTACCCACTGCACATGTCTGCCACCCAGTTGTGACAACATGCAGTGTCTCCAGACATTGCCAGATCCCTTGGGGAACCCCAGATCTCTCATGATGTGGCTTGGCAAAGTGTTCACCTGTCACACAGCATCGACATGATCACTGTAAAGTCAGTGCAGAAAAAATTACAGAGTAGATTTTTATGCCACCTTTTATACTTCCACACTGCCTGCAGAAACAGGAATGTTTATGGAAAAGATGACAGAACAGATGATGAAATAGAAAAATGGAGGCACTCAGGTTTTCCAGTCCACTGTTTGCCAACTGAGGAACAAATAGAATAGAAATCATAGCATTCCAAAGCTATGGTATAGCTTACAGTACATCCTGGTTTAACTTATTTTTCTTTGTTTTTTGAGATAGCAAAAAAGGCCAGTTCTTGGAGCCTTGCAGCTCAGACTGGCCTTGAATTCTCTGTAGCCCAGGCTGGCCTAGAAACTCATAGAGATGCTTGAGCCTCAGCCTTCCCAGTGCTGGGGTTACAGACATATGCCACCACGCCCACTCCTCAGCCTCCAAGTAGCTGCAATAACAGGTGTGTGCCATCACCTGTGGCCCTACACCCAGTCAAGGCCCACTCCCTTTATCTTTCTTTTTTTTTTGTTTTGTTTTGTTTTTTTGTTTTTGAGACAGGGTTTCACTATGTAGTTGAGACTGACCTGGAACTCACTATGTAGCCCAGGCTGGTCTCAAACTCACAATGATCCTCCTGCCTCAGCCTCCCGAGTGCTGGGATTACAGACGTGCACCACCACACCCAGCCCTCTACCTTTATTAAAGCAGTGTGACTGCAGGGTTTATCTTGCTCACTGAGTGAGTGGGTTTCATTTGTGTATTTCTGGCAAGAAGGGAGTTAATGTTTATTAAAATGATTAATGAATGTCACCAGTTGGTGTTTATCTGCTTTATGATTATGGCTTGAAGTGGCCCATATTACCCAGAATAATTGAAAAGCTAGTTGTGCTCATTTCAGCACACATACACTAAAATTGGAACAATACAGAGAAGATTAGTGAGGCCTCTGTGCAAGGAGGACACATAGTTTCATTAATTGTTCCATTACAAAAAAAGAAAAATTGGTTATATTTACCTCCATTTGAAGTCAGTGAGAATTAAACGAGGCCCTGTGGTACATGCCTGTTTTCCTAGCTACCCAGGAGGCTGAGGTAGGAGAGTCACAAATTCAAAGCCAGACTGTTCTACATACAGTAGGTAGTAAGACCCTATCTCAAAAACAAAACAAAAATTCTAATGAGAAATATCATGTCCTATAAAATTTCATTCATCAGTGCTTGAGTACTTTTTAGAGTAGAGAGTAAGTTGTAGAAATTGCTGTCTTAAGAAGTTTACTCATTTTGAAGTAACATGGTGCTAGAGAGTTCGGAACACAAGTTTTAATTAGTAATTATGTAGTATTTCTAATTCTCAGTTTAAAAAATAGAGTGAAGCAGCACTGGGAAGATTGGATCTGAGAGTACTTGCCTAGTATGTGTGAGGCCCTGAATTTGATCATCCTCAGCACCACAAAAAAAAAAGAGAAAAATAATTGGAAAAATTCCTTTTAGAGAAAAGGCCAGATATATCTCAAACTGGTTCTTCAAATTAAAATTATATTTAAAATTTTTAATTGGGCTAGATATGGTCATACACACATATAATCCCCAGGAAGTGGAGGCAGGAGGACTGAACGCTCAAGCCCATCTTAGGCAATTTAGTGATTTAGCATGACCCGCCTTTAAACAAATGGGCTGAGTGTGGTGGCACACACCTGTGATCCAAGCACTCAGGAGGCTGAGGCAGAAGGATTGCTGCCAGTTTGAGGCCAGCCTCGGCTATATATTGAATTCAGACCAGCGTGAACTATATTAGTGAGACTCTGTCTCAAAAAAAAAAAAAAACATAAGTTCTGTGTAGCGTATCACACCTTAATGGAAAAATCATCCCCATGTTGTTAATTCAAGTGAATTTTGGGTGAACATGTGTGTTCCCGAGCATGAAGAACCTGTGTTTATTTTTCAGATCTTACCAACATATTTGAGTCCTTTTTGCCCCAGCTGTTGGCCTATCCTAATCCCATAGACCCTCTCAATGGTGATGCAGCAGCTATGTACCTCCACCGACCAGAAGAATACAAGCAGAAAATTAAAGGTAAGGAGGCACACAGTGTAACCTGGAGTCAGAAGAACTTAAACTTCTTGGGCTTTAGTCATTTGGAGTCCTTTGTGAGTTACATAGTTCCTCGTGATTTTCCCAGGCCTAAAGCAACAGCTATAGACTTAAGTAGCATTGAGCATCCTCAAGCGCAAGCACTAGTGTCCTCATCTAGACTGCCCTTAGGATTTAGAATCCTATGTTCCCACAATCATGGGACTGGAGTTTGTTTCAAAGGAAAATAAGGTTACCAAAGAACATCTAAAGCTCAAGTGGAACTGGGAGCGATGGCACACACCTCTAATACCAGCATTCTGGGAGGCTGAGACAGGAGGATCGGAAATACAAGCCAAATCTGGCCAATTTAACAACATAATGAGACTTGCCTCAAAGTAAAAACTTTAAAAAGCTGGGGATATAGTTTAATGCAAAGGCCCTGGAATGTGATTCCCCCCTTTCTCCTCCATGTACATTTGAGAACTTCCATAGTGAAAAGTCTGGGTCCATAAAGCTCCACCGGAAAGGAGAGGAATTCGGTCAATGGAGATGCATCTGCTCTTAACAAATAGGCACTGGGCCAGCTTTCAGCACAATTTGACCATCTGCAGTAGATGTAGACCATCAGCCTCAAGCTGTGGCCCCTCTGAGGCACATTTGCAAGAACTGACAGCAGAAGTAGTTCATGGGATAGGGTAAAGCCTTGAAAATAGGTTAAAATATTGAGCACTTGTGGAACGGGGCATCCTTGCAGTTGTCCAAAGAGTTGTCACTTCTTTGCTCAAAAATCTTTGCCAGGGGCCATCAGCCTGCCATTTGGGGCTTTCTGGTTCAGAGGTAATGATCTCTGTCTGTGCCTTGACTCCTGTCGGCACACCGCTGTGTGACAGTGCAGTTCGGTGGGTGTCAGGTACCCAGATATATTCGCTCTTTGTAGTACAGAAAATTTCAGACCCGCATCCACCTCTGGCAAAACCTCTCTACTCTGCCTTATTTGCAAGCAAGGGGACACAGGTATCTCTTAGTGTTTTTATGTCCCAACCACTTTTGGGTGAGGCTGAGCCCTTCCTCTGGAACAGCCTGACCTCCACTGCAGCTGGTAGAGCTTGGGTCTGTGCAGCTGTGCCTGCCTCCCTGGCCTCAACCAATTCCTTCCATAGATGGCTTCCTGCAGGGCACCCGAGCGGCTCCTGCCTGTGACCTGCATCTATTCTCTCCTCTTAGTGTCCTTGCTCTTCACTGCTCTGTCTCCTGAAAGGCCTGTCCTAGTAAGTGCTTCTTAAACATTTGTCTCTGAATATTCTAAAGAAAGCTAGTAAGATCAAATTATACCATAGTGGTGAGCCTATGGCACACACGTGCCACAGCGGACTGTTTGTATCACTGAAAGCTGTAAAATGTTCACTGTCACTGAGTTAGCGTCAAGAAAGTGTCCTGGTGCAGCAACTTCAATGAAAGAAGCAGAATGGCCAGCCCATTGTAAGGCAAGAATAACACTTCTGAGGCCTTAGTAAATATTCCTCTTCCTCTAAACATAAATCTAGGTAAATTCTTACCTAGATGAGGCCTCATCTAATCTCATGATCTCAGTGTAAAGTTCTAGAAATTTAAAGAGCTCTAATGCTTGTCTACAAACTTGGATAGTATAAAAAATAATCCTAGCAGGACCCCTGCACTGGCTCCTCAGATATGGCAGCCCCATGGCCTGTTTCCCTTCTTCGTGTTACAGACTCTGCACCTCCATAGGAGGAAAGACAAATCTAAGGACGTGGGTATGTGTGTATGTCCGGCTGCTGCTCTGCTGGGATTCCCACCATCTGTCTCTTCATACTGTGTGTAGGCCATTTACTTGAAAACTGTACCTTTCCAAAGAAGTTTATTGTTTGTTCAGCTTTTCCTAATTTTTTTGTCAGCCAGCAGATTCAGCCTAGGATACAGCAGCATAAACTCAAGGTAAATGATACATGGTAAAACCGCTCAGGCTGGTGTGCATGCCTCTTGGCGGCAGCTCATTCCTGATGAGCAGACTGAGAGACAGTTCGTACTGGTACTTCCAAAACCTGACAGGCAGGATCTGTGTAGACTAAAATCTGTTCCTAAAATAATAGATCTGGGCTAGCTATGATTATATAACTGCAAAGCTGAAAACAATGGGGATTTCCTGGTAAGTTGCTATGGAATCTTAACATCATGTTCTGTCTGAGAGGCAAATCATTTTATTGACATGAAAGTAAAAACAGTGTATAGAGTGCCCATTTCTCCCACCCGTCCAGCATCCCAGGGTGGGGATGCAAGGAACTTACCTATCTGCAAGCCAGACATTCTGTGTTGCTCTCCTACTGTGATCATCCCTCTTCTGTTCTTCATGGGTTTGCCTTTGCATTTTTTTTTTTTTTTTTTTTTTTTTTTTTTTTTTTTTTTTTTTTTTTTTTTTTTTTTTTTTTTTTTTTTTTTTTTTTTTTTTTTTACCAGGGATCGAACTGGGGTCCTTGTGCTTGCAAGGAAGGCGGTGGAACCACTGAGCTAAATCCCCGGCCCTGCCTTTGCCTTTAGTGATCACACCAGCTGTCCTCTTTTCCACCCTTGTACAGACGGGGAATCTGAACTTATGGAACTCAGCAGTCTTGGGGTCGCTGCTCACTTACCCTTATGTTTTCTTTCCCGACCCCTGTGCAGAGTACATCCAGAAGTACGCAACGGAGGAGGCCCTGAAGGAGCAGGAAGAGGGCACTGGGGACAGCTCATCAGAGAGTTCTATGTCTGACTTTTCGGAAGACGAGGCCCAGGACATGGAGTTGTAGTAGAAAAAGCGCCTGCTTTTCAGAAAGACTATTATTTCCTAACCATGAGAAGCAGACTATAATATTCATATTTAAACAAAGCAATTTTTTTTATTACTAAACAAGGTTTTTATGAATAATAGCATTGATATATATATATTATATATCACCCTTTAGATCTTGATTTCTTGGTCATTTCTCAACCTGAGGTGCATAGCATATTCCCACATTCCATTTTGGTAGCAATATGCAGTCTGAATGCATGCATTCATAAGTCCATTTGGCCAAGGCAGCCTGTGTGCTACTGAATGTCACATAGCCACTCTGATGGGTAGATAAGAGTAAAACAGGAAAAGTTGCTTCTTTTTATTGATGGTTCCAAAGAAACAAACCAAACCAACCAGCTCTTGGATGTGACGATAGAATAGTTTTTTCAAGTTGGAAAGGAAAAAATTGGGGAGGAAGAAGCCTGCTTTGGGAACGTGTAGAGCCAGCCACGTACAAATCAGCGGCCCTTCCTGTGAGTCCTAAGTGGGCCATTTCTGTGGAGTATCATTGTAAAGCAGGGAGCCAATTGGAGAATTGAGAAAACATTTTTGACTGAATTTAAGTACATTTTAACAAGTAGATTCCTGCCCTTCATGCTACCAAACCTGCAGCCATCGCATTGTGCATTGAAGAACCTTTTGGAAGTATTTTCTGAACCTGATTCTTTTTCTTGGGGACAGCTTGTGATCCAGACTTTTTTTTTTTTTTTTTTTTTTTTT